GCTATTAGGTTGGAGGCCATTGCTTCTAGGTTGGAGGATATTGCTATTGGGTTGGAGGTCTCGCTATTAGGTTGGAGGCCATTGCCATTAGGTTCCATGCTTATTTATTAGGGTGGAGGCCATCGCTCCTTTTGCATCAAAACGAATCACCGACTGAACTCTCAGGCCTCCGGCCAGAACTGCGTGTGGGCACCGAAGGGTGGTTGAGCGCCTGAAGAAACAGCTGGTGTTATGCAGTGATTTCAATGCAGAAAGAGAAGGAGAATAATATGAAGGTGAAAAAGAACAAAATGAGATGATGATGATGATGACGACGATGACGATGATGAAACAGAAGAAGAAACTCTTTCCTGGTTTAAGTTTTCACAAGCAGTTGGATTGGGAAATCAATGCACCAACCCTCACCAAGGGCCTGGTCCAGATGCTCAAGCTCTGGTGGAAGCTCTGCGCCGGCAGAATGCACCAGTGACGGTGCCTCGCGCAACGTGGCGCCTTCGAAAACGTGGGCCGCGTGGGCCTCCACCCTTAAAGCGATGGCCTCCAGCCTAACAGCGATGGCCTCCAACCTTATTATAGCGATGGCCTCCACCCTAGTAATGATGGCCTCCACCCTTAAAGCGACGGCCTCCAACCCTTCTTTTATAGTTTCTTTTCGTTTCTTGGATTCAACACTTCCGGATTCCATTCCGATTGCGCGTTTGCCGACGTGACCCAAGTGTCCAGGCCTCTCCGAGCACTTGCTCCGGAGATGAGGTGTGGGGATGAAGACCTGCGAAGACCTGTCGGAATGAAAAAGGGCTCACATCGTTTTGGACGCAAACTGTCAAGATGAGTGTGGGGCCAAGAATCTTGAGGACTCGGATTCAAGAGAGTTTGATATTCTAGGTAGTGGGGAAGATCCATTAGACCTGCCTACTTCAACAACAAGGTTAAAGGATGTGCAAGACCTTGAAGACCTTGTCCTGATGTTTTGGATCACTCGATCACTGCTCACGCCCGACTTCAGCACAAACTCAATGACCGCCGACGTAGCAGGTGCAGCTGGAAAGGCAAAGTATGCGAAGCGTCATTAGTGGGCAGCTGCGAAGCTTCTTGGGAGATGTGATGAGGATGGAGGCCGGGGAGGGAGTCCGTAGCGGGTGCCCTGTCCGAGTACCCAATCTCCATACCTTGTGCCATGTGCAACTTGAGAGCCTTCCACTATTTCAACATGTTTCAAAGTCTCTTTTTTCGAGAACAGGCGAGTAGCTTTGAAGACTGGTTCTTGTGGCGATGGCGCGAAGGCTCAGTTGAGGCGTCCGCGTTCATCGACGGGCAGAATTCGTTTGTCCGAGCAGTCCTGAAGACCTGCCGCCAAGACCCAAAGACCCAAGCCAAGGCTCCTGCTAATTCCAATGACCCACCAAATCCATTGATATTGGAATCATCCAAAGACCATTTTACTTGCTGGCCCACTCATAATCTCACAAAACTATCCATGTAGACGCGGGAAAGGGCCAAAAGGATTGCCGAGGCCAGGACGCCAAGGCATGTTTTACAGCCAGCCGCTGGCATCAGTTGGGGTCCTCAGTTGGGCGAAAGGGCGACCTCGGCCTCCAAGCTACTAGCGATGGCACAATGACCTCCAACCTAGTAGCAATGACCTCCAACCTAGTAGCAATGACCTCCATCCGGCATATTCCTGGCGTTTTTGGGGGTTTGCTCGATCAGCTTTTGCGTGACCCTCGCGTGTCCTCGTTTCGGATCGGGCGAGCGCCGCTCAGGTCGCGGAGCTGGACGCCTATTTGGGCTACCAGCCTCCCTGGCGAGTTTGTGTTTGGGAATGTTTGCTCTCAGAGTAAATTGATGGACGTCATCCTGACAAACGCCACGTCTTTGGGTTTGGATTCAAAGGTGCTTACACATTGCGGATTGCGCCACTCTGGTCCCCTGTTCCGTGCCAAAACGGAAAGGACGTGATCCTTCGTTTCGTGTACAGCAAGATGTGCAATCTCTCAGGGCACCAAAGTTCTTTCCGAATGGTAAGGTTCTTTTCTACGGGTTGTCAATTGGCAACATAAATGTATGAACTGTGAAATTGACAGTAAGAAGTGCATCGCTACTAGTAGCAAATAGCGACTAGTAGCACAGAAGCTAACTAGTAGTAAGGCACTTGTTACTAGTAGTTTTCCTGGTCTTCAAGCTTGAGACTCGATTGAAGTTTTTTTGGCGAAGTTGGAGTGGTTGGGTGTTTCGACCCAGCACCCCGAGATCCTCGGAGGAGATGTCGCTCTAAGATGGTAGAACTGCCGAGTTGAGTTGACAAAACTTGAACCCGAACACGAACCCGAACACGAACCACTTCGGAGGCCCCCAGGGTACTTACTGCTTTTTTGATCCTTTTTGTGTGCCTACAGGAAGTAAAGAGCACCTGAAGCTCCTTCCCTTCTGACGCTGATCAGCTGATGCGATGTTGTTCCTTTGTCATATTTTGGAGAAGCTGCCAGGCCAGCGTTCGAAGTCGAAGACTCAGTCGAAGACTCGTTGTGGAAACCTCGTGCGAGTCTTCGAATGCCACACGATGAGGGTCACTCGGAGGCGACCCGCTCAGAGACCGAATTCGCCTGGCTCAGGAACCCGAACACGCACGACAGGCGAATCGGGGCGACTCGGGTAGTGGTGATTAGAGCATCCTTGATACGGTAGAGAGTAAGGCCAGGAGTGCCCCTAGTGTCCTTGTTACTAGTAGGTGAGGACAATGTGTTTACCCCACTTCCTTGGGTGAATAGTTGACACTGTTACCTTGCTCTTGCTCTTGCTCTCACCCTCACCACTCACGCTCTCGCTCTCTCTCTCTCTCTCTCTCTCGCTCTCTCTCTCTCTCTCTCTCGTTTTGAGAACCTTTTGTGACGTTCTTCACAGTACATGACAATACTTCCACAAGTCCCTCTGTAGGAAGATTACAATGCAGTTACTAGCCCTAGCCAGATCCTGCAATGGCCTGCACCCATTTTGTCCGGCTGGATTTTGTGCATGTGCATGCGCGCTGGGGCATATGCAGGTCTTGAGCCACGCGCCTTTGCGGCTGGTGCTTGCTGCAAAGGCACCCGACGTTGGCCCATGGAAAACGATCTAACAGGAATCAAACATAAACTCCTAGTGGCTGCGGAGCCTATGCAAGCTTCGAGGGAAAGAAGAGTAAAAAGCTTATTCAAAGCTTGTGGGTTTGGGTTCACCCTGGTGAAAAGCTCAAAGCTGCACGACCATGGAGCCAAAGGTCTAGGGAGCCATCCATGTTTGACGCTCAAAGGAGGATGCACATGTCCAACGACCGTGGTAAGTCTTTTCATTCGCTCGGGCTGGCCGTGATGGATCCTGCCATTGGCGGAGCCGAAAACAGAGATTGCCTGGCACACATGTGCTACATGAATACTTTTTGCAGTGACCCAAACTGTCAAATTCAAGCTTGTCTGGAAGAACTGTTAAGTTTAGATTCTAGATTGATTGATTTTCCACTGCAGCCCAAAAACTACCTACTGAGTGCTTACAAAGTCACACAGTCTGAGAAGGGAACGTCGAGGCTCAAGCAGCCCCTGGCGCCCACTCCAAGTGAAAGCTGCACCGCAGTCTGGATGGTCCTGCGAAAAGTGGCGCTTCCCTGTGTTGAGTCCCATGGTGCTTTGATGTCCCAGAGGAGCAAGGACGCTACTAGGGGCTCCTGGTCCTGGCCTTACTACTAGGAGCAAGGAGTCGATGCGATTTCCTTCAGGTCTGGGTCGGGTGCTTTGATGCCGTCTTGTCGCGACCGCAGCACCTGTCGTGTGGCGGCAAGCGCCGTGCACTTGGAGCAAGCACCGAGCACTTGGATGTGCATGGAGATGATTTTGAGCTCGCGAATTTTTCTGACAGACACTGTGGAGAGGACAAGTACCTGGAAAGACAGACTGAACATGTGAGCTGGGAGCATTGGAGTGTCTGGTGGGCATTTTGATATTTTTGTGGGAGAGGCCTATAAACCTGGTCCACAAAAATAGCCGCAAGAAGCTTATGAAGGAGAGCAAGTCCGAACCGCTAGCCACGCTAGCCGCTAGCCCTTACTGACTCCAAAGCGAAGGAAAGCCAGCCAAGGGCCCACTGGGCCCCTTGAGCCCTGTGAGAACAGGAACTTCTACATCCTTTCTTCCAACGAATGCCACAGCGGTGGAACAGAACTCAATGAAGCCGATAGACTTGAAGCGACACTGGATGTCCGATGAGACGTCGCTCATTCATGAGGGCAAGTGTCTCGCCAATGTCTTGCCAAGAGACATGTCTCTAATAGCTTCTTGCTCCTACTAGTAAGGCACTTTTCACGTTCCTAGTAGCTTCTTGTTACTAGTATGTCCAAAAAACACTAACCCAGTTCCAGTTGATGATTTTTGGTGGTTTTGGTAAGCTACCGGACTGCGATATTTTGTCCAACCCTTGGGAGTGAGTGGCAGGGTCAAATTATTGATCGATCAGCAACCAGTGACTAGAGGTTGCCTCGTCCTATTGATTGACCTTAGTTAGCCATGAGATCGCTCTAATTTCTGGAGGGGGGACCTTTTTTCACTTCCAACCTGGTAAAAAGGGAGGGTAAGCGCTTCTTAGCACAAAGGTGGCCACCCATTCAGCTAAACCGAATCGAACTTTGAGGGAGGCCACCTGGCTTTTAGGGTTCACTTGGGCGATTGGCACATCTATGAATCATCAGAATCATCTGAAGGGTATTTTGGGGTCATCGTGGACTTGGAGCTGAAGAACGACAGGAAATCGACTAGCCATCGCTAGTAGAAAAAATCTACTAGCCATCGCTCTACTAGCCATCGCTAGTAGGTTGGAGGCCATCGCTCTTAGGAACAAGAAGCTACTAGGGACTGCTGGCCTCACTACTAGGAGCAAGAAGCTATTAGTAACAAGAAGGCTAATAGGTTGGAGCTTGTAGGATTTTCTTCGAGGCATTTTTGCCACGTCGATTCTCCAGGCCACCGAGCGCGGCAGCTGGGAGCCTTGGCAACGTGAGAGCAGCATGGAATCTTCACCACTCATGGCAACTCATGGCATCTCATGGCTCTTGGATGCCAAGCTGGTAAACCCAACATCTCACAACATCCAGTTTGGTGTATAATATCTATTGTATCTATTGGTCTATTTGTTTCACACAAAAGCTCAAAAGCCATGGCCCGATCTTCGACACTCCAGTGCCGCCCAGGTTGGCCCCACATCGCGCAGCATTTTGGGCTTTCCACGGACAGGACCGGACCGGGAGTGGTGAGTCGTTCTTTTTTTTGGCAGGACTCAATTCTATTCGATGTGATTCTCCAGGATTTGGAGAGTTTTTCCGATGTGTTTTGCGGGTGCAGTGATTGGGCGGCCGAAGATGAAGACTGTACAGAGAGAGGGCAGCTCGTGGAGCTATGAACTCCCTGCCGCAAAAGGAACAGAGCGACAAGATGCTACAAGTTCCAAAGAACTGGCACGACATTTTTTCACTGAACTTGCTAGTGATTGGGTGGTTTGTTTAATTTTTGTTTACAATCCCAAAAGGAGTCGGTCAGTTGGTCGTCCATCGCAGCCTCAGGCCGAAAGGATCCTATCAAGGTGCGATGGGAGGGATAGAGGCTTCGATGAAGAGCCTCGTTCATCATGATAGGGCATATGTGCTAAAGAGCGGCAAGGATCATCCGCATGATATGTTCCACCAAGCTATAGCATATCATGACATGATGGTTCTTACTTTTAGACACCGATTCTTTTCGAGGTTCGGTGAACCACACCCTGCCCACAGAGTGTGTCCACTATATACTTCAACCTCAATCACAGACCTCACAGACCTCACAGACCTCAGAGACCAGTGATGACAAGCCAAGAATTCAACCAGCCAAAGTTTGGGACGTAAAACCATATAAAACCATTTTCATCAATCTTTCCTCCCGTCCCTTTCATTCCTTCAACTTCATCCTTCGTCCCAGGTGTGATCCGCCTCTGGTGGCGAAATCGTCTTCTCTACCTGGCCGCTTGGGCCGACCGTGCTAAGACAGCTAAGAGCCAGTTGGCTTTTGCCAAGCTACCGCTCAGTGCCATTTCGTTTGCGAAGGTTGAAGGTTCCATGAATGTTTCATTGGAGTGTTCGGTGGAGGCCGCTACTAGGTTGGAGGCCATCGGGCTTAAAGGAAGCTCTAATAATGGTTTGGCAGAGAACCTTTACTTCAGTGTTCTGTTGTTGTAGTTCCTCGGACCTCGTTGTAACTCAGCTATCTGGTTCGCTTCTAGACTCACAATGAGAGTACCTCTGATTGTACTCATTCCTCGTTTCGTCGTTTCAGGTTGTGGACCCGAACTCACCTCTCTTGTGGAGCACGGAGCGCTATCAGAGCAGCTGGCGATTAGGCTTAAGCGGACAAGCTGGTTAGCTTGTTGTCTGCAGTTTTACCTATTCGCCAGCCCAGGTTGCATCACACTGACCGAAAAGACTCGACCTGCCTTTTCTGCAATTTGCAGGTTTGAGATAGTGCCATGAGAAGTGAGGAGAAGACAGGGGAAGAAAGAGATTCGAGTGGATGTGAACAAGAGTAGGAGGTCAATGGGAGGTCTCAAAGTTGGAGACTGTCGGTACCCTGAAAGCTGCGCGGTCGCATGATTTTTTTGCCGTTCAGGCTCTGGTGCTCCCTCTCCAAAACTGCATGATGCTCAGCCTGCGCTAGCCTGCCGGTCTTACTTGTTGACTGCAAAGTTTTTGGCATGTTAGTCGAGGCCTCTTCCCTGAAGTCTTGAAAGGATGCCGTGTTTTTCAAGCAAAATTAGCCGTGGGGGTGATGGTCCGGGGACCAGCCACCATGCTGAGAATAGTCACTGTTGTGTGCAACACTTGGGTGCTGAGACACCAGTCATCCCAAGTCATCCCAAGTCATCCCAAGTCCGTCAACACTTCTTGGGCACGTTGGAGGTCGGGCGCGCACTTTGCGGAGCACGCGAAGGATCCCCAACTGCCAGCTCATCGGCCCATCCCTCCAGGGGCCGGGAGACTCAACGTTTTCACAGCAATTTGTGAGGTCTACTTCTGGAGTAGTAAATCTGTCAATCCAACTGCTTATCACTTCTTGATTTGGCAAATCTGAACCAGGAGGCCAAGCCCCAATGGTGTTTTTTTGTCCCAGTGAAAAGGGCTGCGACCGCTGGTGTTTTGGGCCGTGCTTGGGCCGAGGCGGTGCTGAGCGCAGCGCCTCTAGGCGCATTGGACACTCGGGCATCTTGTGGATGATTCATCTACTGTAGTGGATGAACCACTGAGCAGATATATCTTTACTACTATTTTTCTAGACCCGCTGGATCTCTGGCACGGACATTTGCTTGGACTTGGACCACCGCAATTGGCCATACTGTTTGACTGATCTTTGGTCATCCCATCTAGCAAACTCGAAGCAAAGCAAGTAAGGACGCAGGCTTGCCTACCTCAAGTAGTGTTCAGTTTGGCTTTAAAGCGAAGGGCCTGCTCTTCAATCATTTTCAATCTTCAAGTAGTCTTCAAGTTGCTAGTATGCACAGTCTTCGACCATCCGATCATGTCGCACGAGGCGAGAGTTGCTCTAGGCACTGCGAAGCTCAAGGCAGCCGAAAGTTGAACAGGAAAACCGTGGACAGTTGAGTGATGCCATCAATTGGAAAAGCTGTAAAAAGGGTACACCATGGTACACCATGTGCACCACGCTACGTGCAGGCCACGTTTGCGTGGACGGGGACTTGATCGCTTGGTGCACCCAGCGATCTGACGTCGGTGTGATACGAAGCGTTGGTGCGCCCACAAAGAAGGGAGCTCAGAATGTTAAAGTGGAGGCTTCTGGACAAGTCGTTTGTTTCAAGACTTTGCCGATGTGACAAGCAGTGTGTCTTCTAACCTTCCAAAAACCTGCCTTTCAAGTCTCCATGTGTGCTGGATGTACAGCTTGATTGCCTTGATAGCAAGTCGAAGGATCAACATTTAGGTTCAACAAGTGCAATTGGTCCTTCTCCAGGCCGCTAGGCATGGCAAAGTGGCCGATAAGATACGAAGAGAATCGAAGAGATATGATCTAAAGTGTTTGTTGAAAGTTGACAACAAACACCTTGAGCTGCAACTTCTCGGCTGAGGCAGTGGCTGCTTGTGCACCTCCACTGACCCTATCCTTTGGATGCAACATTTGCGAGGAGGAAGCTCGGAGCTGAGAACGAGAACCAAGAGTATGCGGCTCCCAGCTGCTCATGGCGGTCATGTGCATGGTTGATACGTGCTGATTGGGAAGGGAAGAGATGAAGATTTCAAGAGATTGGGTTGCTGAATCCCAACAGTAGCTCAAGTAATCCCGAGTACCTATCAAAAAAAGCCTCTCCAATTGAACAAAACCATGTCCGAAACCCTAAATACGGTCTATATTTGTTTCTTAATTGCCGCCCTTTCAAACCGCTACTAAACTACCAACATGGTCGATTTTTGGGGTAGTTTTGTTATTTTGTTCCCCCAAACTCCCTCAAAATAGGTCCCAATACACCCTCAAAATCGACCATGTTGCACCTGCCACGAAATCTGCACTTCAAGGTCCACAAAGTACCGCGATCCTTCCACTGACCCTATTTTGGACCCCCCCCAATTTCAGGGACCCCCTATTAAAACATGCGACCACGTTTTTCTTATTAGGGGGGGGGCGTGTTTTTTAATAAGTGGACAGGATTAGTTGTGAGAAGTCATTCTTTGCGGAAGAATTGGTGAGAAGAGGACGAGGATGCAGATGCGTTGGAATTCATGGGCTGAGTATCCGAGAGAGAGTCCGAATGAGTCGCCAAACGGAAATCAAAGCCCTACGGGGGACATGCAAATCAGTGTCGTTATTTTTTTTGGGGGGGGTAAGCCGTAGAGCCGTAGAGATAGTAGCTAGCTAGCTAGTAGAAGCTAGGTAGCTAGTACCTACAAGTAAGCTACTACTTAGGAACCCCAAAAAATAGCGCTCGCACTATTCATTTGGTTCCTAGATTTTTAGGGAAACTTAAGGTACGTCCCCTACTTGACAGATGGCTCTGCTCTTGCGCGCTTCCCTGCGCGCTCCCTTGCTTTGCCCAGCGCCATCTCGACCGAGGCTGCCTCTGCAGCCTTCCCTGGCCTCCACCGAGATACAGGCTGCCGAACCAGCTAAACATCCTACTGCCAAGGAGCAGAACCGCGGTGTATGGGAAGCAAGCCGTGTTCAATCGCCCACATTGGACAATACTGTACATAAACAGACAATCTAGTCCTTCAAAGAGGTCCGCATGCACTTTGGGACAGCACCTTTTGCGGACCCAAACCGTACTAAGTTCACTACGTCAATTCGCCAGGTCGCTGTGGAGCGGGACAAAAGGCACCAGGCACATGACGCACGGGGCGGCGCAAGGGAGAAGGAAGGGAGAAAATAGTTTCTAGCTACTAATAGAAACTAGTAGTGGCGGAGCGTCCTTGCCACTAGTAGTCATGGCCTCCAACCTACTAGCGATGGCCTCCAACCTAGTAGCTTCGGGGCAATGCGAGCGGATGAATTTGGTGCGCCAAAAGATCGTTTCGTTGAAACGGCTCGGATGATTTAGTGTTTTTGGACTAGCTTCTGTTGCCAGATCTCAGATGATCTCGGATGGTGCGAACGTGCTTTTTCCTTGTAGGTGGTTCATTCCACAAGTCTGTATGGGCTTCAAGCCAACATTTTCCTGGTGGGATGCATAACCATCAGCTTAGGAACGGGTTTGGCAGGAGCAACTTTTTGCGGGGTTGTGCGCAAGAGACGATGCTATATAGAAACTTAGATTAGCCACCCGCAGGTCGTCAGCGCAACCCTCCACAACTTGTGTTTACTGCCGGCCCCTGCCGGCCCCTGCCTTAGGAGCGCCTCAAAGCTCGATGATGGCGGCTGACTGCCCGTTCGCCTAGTATGCGGGAGCTGGAGGGCTTTTGGCAAGGAAACACTTCCAGTATCCATTCATGCTCTTTAGCTACATGGACATGTTTCACTCCGCAATCCCTTCAGACCCCTCAACGCTTGTGCTTGATGTTCTTTTCTCTCTCTCTCTCTCTCTTTTTTAAACACATCCGACCTCATCGACCAGTTCTTAGCAGTTCCGAATCGACCTCGACCTCGACCATGTCTCCTCGTTCGCATCGGGTCGACGCCCAAGGCTCCGCGTCGGCGCCGCGGGTGCGGCGCTTCTGCGTGTGCCGTGTGGCTCTGGTGCAGTCGCCGTACGGAGCCCAGAGGAGCCCAGAGGAGCGGAGCGGAATGACATTACAAGTAGTCACCTAGTAGCCTTCTTGTTACTAGTAGTAAGGATGCTCCTAGTAGTACGGCCAGGAGCCCCTAGTAGCATCCTTGCTCCTAGTAGCGATGCACTTGTTACTAGTAGCGATGCACTTGTTACTAGTAGCCTTTTTGTTATAGTAATGGTCTCCAACCTACTTGCGATGGCCACCTAGTAGCATTCTTGCTACTAGTTCTCGTGACATTGGAAGGAATTTGCGCATTTGGACTTTGAATTGGAGAAGTCAGACTGGGAGTGGTGGGATGTGGAAGAATGTGGAAGGATTCACGCCCGATGCACATGTCAGTCCGCTCTAGGTTAGATAGATTCGGACCGATTCGGATCGATGGTTTTCTGCCGTATCCTGAATCCCTCGAGGGGCAGGTCCGTGCCGCTCGTCTCGGCTTGCCTTTTTCCGTCACATTCGACGTGATCGACGTGAGGCTTTTGGGAAAGACGCACCTTCGTTTGCGAAGCCCGGGCTTGCACTTCGCGCGGCTCGGCTTGCGTTGAGAGCTGTTCGGGCTTCGGGCGCATGCGGGCGAAGGATGTACCTCTTCCGTGGCCTACCCCCTCCGGGGCAAAAAAGCAAACAAGAAGCTAGTAGTAACAAGTGCATCGCTACTAGGAGCAAGGGCCTTACTAGTAGTAACAATGTTTGCTATTAGAAACAAGTGCCACGCTACTAGGAACAAGTGCATCGCTACAATTCTCTACGATTTCAGGTTCAATTTCAGCACTAGAATTGAAGTCAGCATGAGTCAGCCACGCCCATATTGTGAAGTCAGGCACGAAATGAAAAAGAGCAACGTGGATGTGGCGCCCTGTTCTTAGCCGCGCTTTGTGAAGCAGTTTGATAAGGAGAGCATGGATCTGGGACGTGAATTCGCCAAAAAAAGCAAGGAAGAACCGTCAGAGTCAGGACATGTGGTCTTGCTTTTTGCAGCTTTGCATATTCCACATTTGTTCCACATTGTTCCACGTCCTCTCGAGTTAGACACGAGACGCTTGGATTAAGACGGATCGCGGACGTGTTAGGTCGGCGGATCGCTTGGAGGCCTTCCGAACAGCAATGATCAAAGCCAGGCGAGGCATGGCGAAGGTGAGACGGACTTGGCCAACACGGTGCTAGGGTAGGCCAGCCGCAGCGGGGCAGCGGTCGTTTCAAAAACTCGTGGCCGTCCGACCCAAGGCCTGATGCCCTGGCAAAGCTGAACCTCTTTGCGGAGCAGAACAGCCTGCCAGAAGCTCCGATGCTGGAATACAGCAATGGCAATGGCATCGAGCACAAAGAACAAAACGGCCACAAAACATTCCCTTGCACCAAGGCCACATGACATCCCACATTCCCTTGCCACTATGTTGTGGGATTCTGTATCTTTCTGTCCCGGTCAAGACGCAGTTCGGAGCGAGGGGACCACCGGTTTGCCGGGCGGACCAAGGCCCCTGGGAGATCCCAAGCTGGAGCCCATCCGAAAGATCTTCGCGCGGGCACTCGGGATGAGGAATCTTGGAGACACTGTGTGTTTTCGGTGGCAGGCAGCGGAAAAGGGGGGCTTGTTTTTTTTTTTTTGTCTCTGGATAGCTTTTTGTGCCTTTGGTTGTTGAGGTAGGGAGAGCTTGTTTATAAGGATGACATGCATATCTGGGGCCAAGGACGTGTTCTTTTCAGTTTCGACTAAGATAAAAACGTCGCGCAAAAAAGGCAATTCAAAGGCCAGACCCAGACACGACGCAAGAGTCGCACAATACAACAGAACACCAAAGCTAACACGATTGAACATGAAGACTGCGCTGTTTGCGTCCAGCTTGTATGTTCGGCTGAAGATCACAAACTCAAAACAACAACCAGATTGGAGGGTCCATGTACACATGGAGACGGAGTCATGTGCGACCGGATGCCATGTCTCCGGAAAAAATCAGGAAGACAAACTTTGGAAGTCCGAATGCGCGACATTTCGCACTATTTGACAGTGTTGGGAGATAAGAGGTATTGTGCCCGGAAGATTTTGAAGCATCTTGAAGCAACATGAGAGGGGTTGAAGAGAGCTACATCAAGCACTCGGCAAGGGGGCTCCTTAAAGATTCAAGACCCTTTGAATGGCTATTGTCTATGCCTCAAATGAGTTTGCTTCAAAGAATCGGACTCGGAGGTGGTCTTCTTGGCCAAGGGTGGGGCCTCGCTGGAGGCGTGCGCAGCAACATGCGGCCCGGTGTTCCACACGTGTTATGCATGGTGTTAGCATACGTGGCAAAGGTGTTTTTTGTCAAGGCTCGCAGGCTCGTCGTTCCATTTTGGAAAAAAGGGCCAAGCTCATTTTATCCGCGCACTTCGTATTCGGTTCGAGAGGGCATGCCGTCGACCTGAAAAGAGCCCTGATGCCCGGTTAGACATGGCATCACACGTGACATGTAGGGCGTCGGAATGAGGATGTTGCTTCCACCAAATCCCAAGTGGTTTTATATGGAATCGCCTTTGGAAGAGCAAGGATCCAGGTGGAAGATTTGAAGATTACCAAGTTGATTCAGCATGGGACTGGGGAGCCTATTCTTAATTTGTTGATGAGAGAGGGCAAGAAGCTACTAGGGGCTCCTGGCCTTACTACTAGGAGCAAGGCTTGAGAAGTGCCTTGCTCCTAGGATGCCAGGAGCCCCTAGTAGATCCTAGTAGCATCCTTGCTCCTAGGTGCCAAAAGAGCAGAGAGGGTTCTAAGAGTTGGACAAATTGACAACATCTGTTCCACTCACCATTCCCGCTTCAGCCGCTGCTGGTGCTCAAGAACCTCACTGGGCTAGTGCCAGGGCAGCCAAGAAGGTTGAAGTGGCGGGGTTGGTGGTATGTGGATGTAAGAGAAAGTGGGGCTGGCCCCACTGGACCTGTAATCATTGACCATGGCTCATTCCCGCCTTCACAGCCAAGGCCACAGAATGTCGTCATCGTCACTGATTTCGTGGGGCGTGAGGCTCATGATGTGTGGCCGGTGACCTGTGTTGACCGAATCTCACGAGCCAAGCAAAGACATAAGAAGTGACTCAGTGATACTGCTAGGAGCAGTTTGGAGGAAGACTTTGGATTTTCTTAGGTTGGAGGCCATCGCGCTTAGGTTGGAGGCCATCGACTTTGGATTTTCTTTGTTCTACTTTCAGCGCAGGGCTTTTTTTCCCTCCACAAGCGCCCTCCACCAGGCGGAGTTTGGCTTCCGAAGCCTCCAAGGTGCGGCTGGCAGAAGTCCAGTCTTTCTTTCAATGGCCTCCAACCTAATAGGAATGGCCTCCAAGCAAGTCTAAGATTTGACTCTTTTTACACATCATTTTCGTTTTCCTTTACATAGACCTTTTTCTTTGTTTCAACACACTGGGCCTGGCGGCCACGCCTGGCGTTTTTTTTGGGAATAACGAGATCCGGGTCGTCGATGACATCGCCTGGGACGACGACATTGCAAAGCCATGACTCCCAACAGTGTTTTTGCGATGCTGGAAATCGCATCTAAATTCGACTTGATACTCTACCAATCCTGCAGGTCTCACCTTGAGCTCACACATGCGAATTCGACACTAGCTCGGTCATGTGCTGACTTCGGGTGGGTGCTGCTTTAGAGGTATATACTTCTCAATGAGAACGAACATGCTTTGCCTGCATGGGCCATGAAGAAGAGGTTTTTTGGTTCCTTGTACCGCCTTACGCCAGTGCTGCATCCACCCGAAACGCGTCGGCTGCCAATGCTGGTTGACAGGTGTTTCTGGGCCAGACGCCCAGAAACTGGCAGAACACCTGGGAAAGCAGCGAAAATACATTGATCCAATCGGATGCATTTGGGGAATCCAATCACTACGCTTTGCGAGGCAAGTAGTAGCATAAATCACCTGTTGAAGAGCTTATGAAGCACACTCTTGCCGACGACACCTGGGCCTCTCAGTTTTCAGCAGTGCTGAAGTCATGTGCTGTCAATAAATTCATCCTGTAGGCACAAAGTTATGTCTCAAATTCTTCAACAAAAGACACCATATCAGCTATTAGGTCGGAGGCCATTGCTCTATTGCCACGAGGTTCTTTTGAGCTATTAGTTAGAGGCCATTGCTAGACTGGTAGCTGTCCACGCTCAAGGCATGGAGATGCCTTGAAGAAGGCGACAGCCATCGCAAAAACGTCCGAGGTGGGTTGTTTTGATTTGCAACCAGTCTTTACGTGCAGACATGGGCCTTGGAGTAGCGAAAAGCGTTGTGATGCAAGTGACATGAGATTGTATCATTGGCGTTGCTTGTTGATGGACCTCTCCCGGACCCGGAGAAATTGGTGATCGATGAGGGTACATGACACACCGGTATCACAAAGCTCATCGTGGTTTCATGTATCTTCATGCTCATATTGGCAACCTGTTACCTCACTCCTTTTGTTTAAGCAAACAATTGTTCTTTTGCAGGATTTGGCCGTTTGTTCGGTTGTGAAACAGAAGGCTGTGTTCTGGACATCCAGTTAAGTCAGGCTTGCGTAAAGCTGTTCTAGGTAGTGGATCCGCACGATCCGAAGAGGCTAAGTCTTTGCTGGTCCTGGAAGAAGGCGAGGATCTTTCTGCGTCCCTTTGGCGAGCTGTCGGATGAGACGACGGGAGCTTCACAGACCGAAGAGTCGGTGCTGGTTGTCGCTTCGGATGAAATGGCTCCAGGCCCGTCAGCCCAGGCCAACGGATGTCACCAGACTTGCTGGTCTTCCATGGGCAGTTGGAAGACTTGCTACACCGCCACTGGGCGACGGTGTGGACGTGGATGTTGGTGGACGTGGATGGGGACAGGTCTCGCTTCGGGCGCAGATCCCATGCACTGAGCATATGTTGTTTCAGATACCTCAGCTTTTCGGACACCTTTGAGGCACTTTTGTTCAAGCCAAGGTCCTTCAGTCAATGCCTTGGTTTCTTGCCAAGCCAGACTCATGAATGTCCCCCGTCACTGCATGTCACGAGGTGACTCTGGCCTTTGGTGTGTGAGCGCGTGGAACGACTATGGGCCTGGAGCTCAAAACCTGCCGATGTGACAAAGACACCCTTCTGGAATTGTTTTCGGTTGAGAAAAGAATTGGGGATGTTCTCACCAGTAGTAGGTGCCATGACCATCCATGACCATATTTACTGGGCGTTGGCATCTTGAATCAACATTGAAGACAAACTCACATCATCAAAGCCTTTCTGAAAGATTTGGGTCATGGTGCCCCGTCCCTTTAGTTCACCAAACCAACTTTGCAAGTGTCTAGTGTCTCTTCTAAGAAAGATCTGCTTGTGGTAAATCGACTCGTTCAGAACAGGACGCTACACCTGCCATAGTCGGAACCTGCCATCGACCGGGAACGAATCCGTGAGAAGGTGGCTTTCGGTGGCCGAAGCGCGCAGGCTAGCGCCCTTCGTAGCGGATCCTACGGTGGTTCTTCGCCAGCAGCCCGGAGTCGGGTCTGGGCACATCAAAGCAGCTATGTCGAGGCATGTTGCTGTGAGATTGGCTGGGTACATTCGGTTGGAGATGTTTCATGGTTTGTTTATATAGTGGTTGATTGTGTTTGATGTCTTTTGGAAGGTGTTCGCATATCTACAAGAAGACATGTCTGAAAAAACAAACAAAAGAACTTGATGGACCTGCTTGAAAGGGAGCCTTCCTCCAAACGGGCCTGGCGTGCGGAGCCTGAGGTAGCGATTGGTTCTCTGCAGTGGCATGGATGACGAGCCTAGCTAGAACCCCAGACGACCAATCAGCCAATCAGCAGTTACAGGCGAGTTGGTGCAACGTTTGATCACTTTGGGTAGCAAGATACTACCAGCTTTCTCATGTGCCACATACATTCCCGTTGGCACCAAGACCGGTCTTCCTCAACCACTTTTCGACCATCCGACCAACCCGTCCGACTAAACTCGGAGGCGCCCGACCACTCACCCTCGGACCCGCTCGTGGTTTGCGAGGCCTTCCTGGAGAGCGAGATCCTGCCGAAGTGGCAGGAGGCTTGGGTCGGTCCACGGCGCGACGGAGTGAAAACGACCGCGACAGGGACCGGATGAAAGGCATGAGTGTCCGAGGCTGGGCTGATGAGAATGATACTCCAGTTAAAGCGACCGCAGACATGTTGATGGTTTGATCAGCTTCTTGGTCAAACCCAAATTGGACAGGACAACTGGGCACAGCATTTGCGCCTCACAGTCCGCAGCAAGCGCGGAAGCCCAACTGATGCCTGGTGGTTCGTCTTGTTTCGACACTGGAAATATTGTCAAAGGGGTTCAGAGATTCCTGGATCATGATGTTTCTTTGCGAGGGCCAACTGCACAATCCCACCCATGATTCAGAGGAATCTTGAAAACGT